TTTGAAAAACAATAAAGTGATTTTCGATTATTAATATTTCTTTTTGTTCTCTAATCCTGAAATATAAAAGGCAACCCTTGTTTGTGTGTGTTTGTGTGTATATGTATGTGTGTATATATATATATATATTGTAACGGTACAAGCTCCTGCGTTGGAAATTGTCCATGAAAAAAAAGAAAAAAATAGCATACGCCCGCGACGCAGCTGCGAGGAAGGGGGGGTCGTAGGCATTCGCGCCCGTTAGTCTATCGAGGCGAAGGTTCTATAAACGTTTATGGCAGGACACCCCCGCGCCAAATGTCAAGTGGGTGCCGCCTATTCAAGCGACCGCTCGTAAAATGAACCCCAACGCTGAGTGCGCCTTCTCGGGGGAAGAATTTACAACCAAACGGTCAGCGGCGAACGTGCGAAGAAAATAGAAGATAGTTTTTCACAACTGCAACGGACATTCTAGCCGGTTAAGAAAGAGTTCCCGTGTGATTGGTCAGACACACGCCTCCACCCTGCTCCGGGAAATTCAACCCCGCGTATCGGGAGGATACGCGTTCTTTGGAGGGAGGGCGTACCGAGGCTTGATGTTACTAGGCCGCCGCTCGGTAAGCACTGGGTGGCGTGAGACGGCCGCGAGTGGGCGATCCGACTGGGTGGCTTGAGACGGCCGCGAGTGGTCGACCCGACTGTGTGGCTTGAGAGGGCCGCGAGTGGTCGATTAGACTTGACTTTATAACTCGGGCACGAGAAGTAACTCGATGTCTTGACTCGACCATGAGTAATGAATTGATTTCGATCTCGATTTGATAGTTCGGTCAAGAGTATTCACTTCGCTTGCTCAGTTAATCAAGTGACATTCGAAGCATATTGCGGAGGGAAGTTGTTTGGCTTCCATTCATCGCCGATGATCACCGTGGCTGCCTGATGTTGGTGACGCTGATTGGAGTAGTGGGCCCCGCGGGAAGCGCGGCGACATCAAACGGCCACGCTGGGAGCCCCTGTGTTCACCGCCTCAGCCTGGAAGGGGACGGCCCGAACAGGGACGACGGCCGACTATACCACCGGGCGTGCGATGAGGCCCTCCAACAGAAACGAGAGTAAATAATCCGCTTGGCTCCCGCATAAATGCGGTCGAACAATTACTGAGCGAAGAGAGGGGGTGGAAAGGGTGCCTTCACAACAAAGTAGCCATGACGACCCGTTGTTTTTTTATTGTATTAATTTAAATAGATGACCATGTCATAATAAAAGAAAGGTCGTTTTATATTTTTATTAAAAATTTGTAAAATAATTGTAATTCATCATCATCATTTTTTTAAAGTAAATGTTTGTTAATGCAAAATATTTTTGACGATTATTATTGAAATTCCATTCCGTTCCAGACAGACACCGTGGGGGTTACAATATATATATATATATATATATATTATATATATATATATATATATATATAATATATATTATATAATATATATATATATATATTGTGGGCGTTATAGGATTGTGGCAACCCATAAACACCGATTCATATGTGTGAACACTACGGAGGCAGCGTGGATAGCAGGCGCAGAAAATAGGTTCATAGTTTCATCTATTTTTAGCACCTCTAATCTCCCACTCAATGGTACAATCAGTTCGCAGCACTATTGGTAATTTCATACAACTTGCTTGGGGCAGCACAGCCCGTCCGTGTTGCGCTCGCGGCTTCTCCCGATACTCTCCACCCGGCGCTCGCGGCCTCCCTGCGTTACTGCTGCAACCGTCACTCGGCCTCGCCGTCTGCCCCGGTTTGACGTTGTGCAGCGCGGCGGGGCGGCGGGTTACTACGTGATCGATTTAGTGCTTTTTTACTTAGAAATTAATATAATTTGCTTGTTATCAATGCGGAACCGTTCTCGTTTCAATATATATACGCTAAGTTTGTATCATAAGCGTTTAGACAAGAATGTTGTGCTAGCTTCAGTATATATTTCGTTTCTTCTACAATTGCCCGATGACGTTAGGTCACGGTCACATATTTGCCTTATAAATTAATATTTTTAATTAAATTCGCGGACGTCTTCTCGACGGGGTTCGTAGCTTCAGAAATGTGCTTTCATTATTTAACCAAATCATTATATAAGGCAAAAGGTCAATGGTGGCCTAATGCCATCGCCACTACAGAATAAGCCTGGCACTCGCTCGGTTGGCGCTTGTACGATGGGCATGAAGTTGATACTTGTGGCAGTCATCAGATGTATTATTGATTGATAGTGATGCCCGGCGCATCAATGGCTAAGGCTCTTAATTCCGTAAGTGTAAATGGCCCCCGTGGCCCCTCTCTCCCTAGATTGAAGAGGAAGAGATTCTGGAGCTTTTTGTTATTATTATTATTATTATTATTATTATTATTATTATCATTGATAATGAAATCATTACTACTATTATTATTATTATTATTATTATTGGCGTATAGGCCATTACTGACCACTCTACACGATTAACGTGTGTTATTCTTCCAGGATCAGCTTTTCAGCTGTATCCTTGGATTACAACAGGTTGTTACGCCTTGAAGTGTGAATTATGTGATGATAGGATGATGATGATGATGATGATAGGTGAAGGGACAATCACAAATATGACCATGTTTACGCAGGACGCGAAACCACAGACGACGGCCGTCGCAACCGTCTGCGCCACGGGGCCGACATTATTATTATTATTATTATTATTATTATTATTATTATTATTATTATTAATAATAATAATATTAATATTATTAATGGATTAGGAGGTGATAGGATATTGGTGCAAGATGATCGTGGACTTTTTGAAGCATCCCAGCATTCGCCTTATGACCTAGGGAAACCACGAAAACCCCGGTCAGGAAGGCCGGCCCCGGAATCGAACCCGGACCTCCCGATTACGAAGTCAGCGCGCTACACACTGAGTCACGTCGCTCGGTATTATTATTATTATTATTATTATTATTATTATTATTATTTTGCGCTTTGTCGAAGGTTTGTGTACTTGTGCTGCAGTTTGCACGCATTTCGAGTTTTACTGCTACGTGTGACTGGTTTGGGTTCGTGTCGCAATTCTGGAGCTCATGAAACCGTGCGCGGATTGTAACTTCTCCTCCACACGTCACATATACCTTTTTAGACAAAATGAATCAAATTAAAGGTAAAGAGAATTTAAGGATATTTTAATTTTCTTGATCTCGGGTTTGCAGGAAATTGGTGTGTGGGTAATAAAATTATTTGCTATCTCGCAATCTAAAGATTCGCTTTTTGCCACTTTTGACAGTCATTGGAAGAAATCGGGACATACAGCGGAGCAAAATGCGGAAATGCGATACCTGTCGCAACACTGATCCACATTCTTTTAGCCCAACTTCCGCAAAGATCCGCATCGCGCCTCTTGATATTCCGAACTCGGGCAATCTACCTCTGACAACACTGGTGCTAATGGAGAATTTATTCTTCTCGTAAATATTATTTGAAGCAAGTACTATTTAAATATTAAAATCGATGGAATCAGGAAAAACGCTTTAAAAAATAACGAAAAAATAAAATAAAAATGACTTAGTCAAAATCAACGAAAAAAAAAAGAAGAAGAAGAAGCATAAAAATGGGTAATTTCCTTTCATCGTAACATAAAATTAATGTCTACACTAAAAGACAATGTTCTAAAGCAAAAATAAAATAAAATGACATTTCATTAAAATTCGCCCTCTAACCATCAGTTACTATCTGGAAAATTAAGGAGAAAAAACATTATATGCCTTGACACGTTTTACACAGCCCTACATTCACTCCAATTAACACATAAACCAGTGGGGCAAACTTAATGTTCTATCACCGGCACAGTGGGTGGTGTTTGTTGCACGGCCGTGTTCTTTGGAGCGTTGCAGCTGGGGCGGGACCCTTCGATGCGTTTCGCATTTTATGCTATGCTCTCTATTTGCTGACCATCGTTTAAATGACGTCACACGCCGGAACTTGGGAGGGGAAATGCGCAGCTCACTAAATGCTGTATGGTGTAAGAAAATCTATTCTAAGATGTACTAGTTATGGTTCTACTACATTCATAGAAATAACTCTTTTGAAAGTAGCCTGAGAGCTTTAAAGTTAACCGTCATTACAGTAATAGAAGTGTCATTCTTCCCAATTCTTACAAATGAATTATTAAAGTAAAATTAAGGATTATAATTTAGCAAAAATATTTCTGGAATTTGTTATTTTGTTGTTAATGTGCCCGATCTAAAATGATCATGGTAGGAAAATATTAAGTATTTTCAAGTCGAAGTGATAATCATTAATACTTCCTGTGAGTTTTGTCAAATGGATAGGATCTGATGGTAGCTTCATTTTTTAATGATTATATTTGAATCAGTTCGGGACATCGGAAGTAAAATGAGCATACTGATACCAAAGAAGAAAACTGCTTTTTTGCGCATTTAATTGCATATTAAAATGCATGACATCTTGGCTTTTCACTTCCGTTGATAGAATGATTTGGAAAATGGAAAAGTCGTATCACAAAACAGGATATATATCGATTGTAATTTATTAGGGATTTTTTGCACGCCGTAACAGACAGCACTATCGAATTTCTGCGAATGCGCATTTCAAGTTTCGCATAGTTTGTGCATCTGCTCATGCGCAGAAGTTCGATAGTGCTATGCGGTATGGTGTGCAAAATCTCCCTATTTCCCATTCTAATTCTGTTCGATTAAGTAAAACACATTTTCACCATAACGAGTTGGGATTCAACAGAAAATTCTAAAATATTTTTAAAAGCATTTGGTATATTCGCGAAATGCAGCACTTCAAACCTGTGAAGTATCTATTGATATATTTGTAATACATTTTTGGATAAAATACATTGTCTACGTTGGCATGCCTGATAAACGACGTTTGGTGGCTACGGCTGATTCTCCTGGTGCGTTGATCTCCGATGTAAAGTTGGAAGTAGCAGTTTGTTTGAGGTATATTACGGTAAATTAGTACACCTTTCTATCCGCCATGAAGTTAGTACGGTTTCTGATGAAACTCAGTCATGAAACTGTAACAATAGAGTTGAAAAACGGTACTCAAGTTCATGGGACTGTTACTGGTGTAGATGTGGCGATGAACACACATTTGAAAGCAGTGAAAATGACAGTGAAGAATAGAGATCCATTACAGCTGGATACATTAAGTATTCGAGGCAACAACATTCGTTATTACATTCTTCCTGACTCTCTTCCTCTGGAAACCTTACTCATCGACGATACACCTAAAGCAAAGGCAAAAAAGAAGAAAGAAATGGCAAGAAATTCTGTCCGTGGACGAGGCCGTGGTCGGGTTAGAGGTAGAGGCAGGGGAAGAGGACGAGGAAGGCGTTGAAAATAGAAAGTTAAGATTTATCGATGGATTTGTTACACAAACATTTATTCAGATTCTCTTCATTTCAAAATAATTGATTGAAAAGTCGTATTTTAAAACTATCTTTCCAAGAAATTATTTGTTTACTAAAATCTTTATTCATAAATATTGTGTAAGATGCTAAACTAATATTTGTTGTTCATAGCTTCTAACTTCCACTGTTGTGTGTTTGAAATGTACACTTGTATTATATTGTAGCATTTCTTTTCAAATGCACTCTGTATTCAGTTATCGTTGAGAAATAAACATTATATTTAATTTTTTCTATTCATATTATCACTAAAAAAAGGAGGTGATAAACATTAAATCCATTTAAAAAAAAGTTAGACTATGTTGCTTCATAAGTCAAATAATTGAATTAAATTATTATAATTGTAAGGATTATTATAAAAGGATATAATAAATAATATTTTATTTGTCAAGAAACTGAAAATGAATTACATTTTTTTAAAAGACTATTTCTAATTTTTCTTACCAGAAATAATTTTTACAGTTCTGATGGTTCCCTCGATACTTAAGCAAACATTTGTTTTTCACATTGTCTAAATTTGTTGTAAGTGATAAAAGGAAAGACGTAATGTGATTTATACTCTCTGATTATGCGTTTAACTGAATTTTTTTTTTTATTCAATTCTAATTATTATTCAGCAAAAATTATCAGTTTTCTCAAAAATACAATGTTTTTTTGGCTAAAACTGGCAGCATCATTGTCCCTTATGCATTTCATTATAATTGTGTAAATAAAGAGTAAAATATCTATTCCCTTAATTATTTCAAAATAAAAACTGAGACAATGATGAGTACAAGAAGAGAATTACCTAACAATAAACAGACAACTAGTTCATTATTGTAATTATTTAAATCTTTTATTTATTTATTTTTTTTATTTCTGAACATATCACGAGTCACTATGAAATTAACATAAATTCTCACTGAAAATCCAAGAGAGACTATGTGTTGTGTGATTCCAAGTGTCCAAAATGATTAGAAAAATAGTAAATTAGCAACTTTTTTTGTATTTATTGACATTTAGTATTTTATTGTAGTTTATAGTTAATATAATTCTGTAAAGTTCTGTAATATTAAATTAGTGTATTGTTATTCAAACTGAGAAGTGCACCTTCCCAGAGAGGCTTGGAAGTTTCAGAGGAGAGGCTGAAAACTTGGTAATAATAGAATAAAATAATGCTGTGGGTGTTTCTAGATGAATAAATTACTATCGGACTAAGGATGTGGGTTCATTAATTTCAACGAAAGAGGGAGAAAACATTTGTATAATATGTGATTGTATAGCATCAATAAAACCAGCATTGACAACAATCAATTATTTTAAACGAGCTCTGGCAGTTGGTGCAGTAGAATGTGGCTTTGTTGAAGAGTGATTCATTCAGTAATTACAACACAGAACAGTGCAAAACACTTGCAATAATTATTTTGGACACTGTAAGAATATAATAAAACAATATACATGATGGCCTTACTTTCAGGAAAAAGTATTTATTTGTTATTAACATTTTAATTTTAATGAGGGGAGGTGTGTGCAGAATTTTTCCCTGAAACGAATCACATCAGTGTTTGAAAACCACTAAATTAGTGTATTCTGCCACCAAGTTCTCAAACTTTTTTGCAGAATTAATAATAAATCTATTTATATTTAGGAGACATGACCTATTTGTGAATTTTGTTCAATGAAACCAAAATTGTATAGTGTCAAGAATATCCAACAGAATTCCTTGCCCATGGTAAGCTACACGGCTACGAAAGGTACAGAAAAAATTATTGTTAAAATTATATTTGAATAACAGCACAGGAATTATTTGTGTAGTGACATATTACACAACTACTACTAAGAACATAACTAAGAAGAAAACAATCACCAAGTTGCATCATGGAATGTGCATTGTGGAAAATGATTAAACAATGTAAAATAATGTATTATACTGTTTATCTCCAATTAATTATTTGTATGAAATCCACTAATATCTTTAGATACATCTGATTATTTTAAATTTAATTTGTAATTTAATATAATTTTGCACTTTCAATAACACAGAACAATTTGTTACTTCTAATGCATTATTGTAGATACTTTGAATTAATATAATGGGTGAATATATTTTTATTAATTTAATTAGGTTTGTGTTCCCCACTACTGATATTTTTCATATTACTTTCGAACAATTTGGAGTCATCAAGAGATTAATGTACTAATGAACATCAACTACGTTTTGCAAGTTAGCAGTCACACCGACAATACATTTAATTTATAATAATAAAATTGAGATTGGGCAGTAAAACCCTTCAACCATTTTCCTCAGAGCTACTACATATAGTCGATAGAGAAGTAACCATTAAATTGTTGATTCAAAGAAAAAAATAACTTTAGAAAAAATTACAGAAGCAGCTTTAATTACACAAATACTTTATGCTTTAATTTATAAAAAATCAGTTCTAAAAATCTAACAAGATTCTATACATTCCCCGTAGTTTGAGTTCTTCTTCCTTAATATGTAAATCAAGATTAGTACATTGAATTTAACTGCTTATAAGTTAGTATAACATCAAGAATTTAGTTGTTTTTTTTTTTCTGAAATTGTTGTTGTTGTAAAGAAACTGTTATTGACACAAACACAGTGTTAGTATTTAAAGGAAATCAGTTGTACGGTATTTTAATACATTACAACTCCAATACTTTCTTAATTAAAAGTATATCACAGAGGACGAAACATGCATTGGGTATTCAATCCTACAGCTGCCATGGGGGATAAAACAAAACATTACTCACCGTTCACCATTGTCCCAAGCATCAGATGTTGAGAAAATTCAAGCACCTTGTACCTTAATATTTGAAGTACTTTCATATTTCAAGTAGTTTGAATCATTACTATTTATATTACGTTCCGGCATCCAGGAGTTAAGAATTGAAAGCTTTTTGCTGGACGAAGCAATCTTTCGGACCGCTAAGGAAGTTCGATCGCCTGATCAGTCAGTGGAGACTCATGATGTTTCTTTCCAGGGAGGCCAGTTCAGCAATTCCATCGTATTATTTCCACACAATCACAGGGTTTGCACACGGGCATTAAGAGAAAACAAGATGCCTCGGGAAGTAAATCGCACCGATATCAGACGCGAATCAACGAGGAGGGAAATCATCCCCCCTCCCCATAAAATTTTTCAGTAACTATTAATTTTAACTTGTCACGAAACTTTGAAGGAAAACTGTTTACCGGTAATCATTAAAACGAATATAATTGTATCGCAGCACGAGCTGAGTGTAGCCCGCAACATTTTACAAAATCTGTAATGTGACACATTCGACCAAAACATTTTGAATTTCCCCTCCCAAACTTTGTCTCAAGTTCCGCCCCTGCAGATGTATAGGTACCTATCTATAAACCGGTCACATCTGAATACCCATCTATAAATCATCACAACGGCCCCTTCATACTCGTACAATAGTTTCGCCTCTCAATACCTAAATATAATTTAATTTCTCCATGCAGCAGACATAGCTTATAGAGATTAATTTGAAGTAGAAGAACACTTTGTTTTGAATTTAAAAAAAATAGGGCCTCAGTTAAGTCGGGACCTGGGGTAATTTCGCACCTGGGCGCTCCACACAATTATGATGCCATAAAAATGAAATAATTTTATTTTTTATTTACTGGGTTTACTACTAGACTGCTCTTTTCTTTCTCTTCGTTTAGTGGGTCTCTGATATCGAGAAAGGTTTTTTTTTGTTTCTATTTGTAACAATTTACTTTTTCGAATACGTAGCAACAGTTTTGTGGATCCTTGATAATACCAAATACCTATTATTCCATCAGAATACATATCACCATGGACACAAGCATCAGCTATTGACAAAATTTAAATACCTTAATATTTCAAGTACAAATACCTTTCAAATTCCAAGTCTGACATTCCGTGAGTCTGTGAACAACACTAGCTAACCGTTCACACAATTTTCAGCAATTTCTATATTCCCTGAGCAATCTGGCTGATGTTGTAGCCTTTTAAATTTGCAACGATAGTTTTCCATTAAAAAATTAAAAAGAGCCATAAAACTGATGCAGGTCCGATTTTCGTTGAAACTTTTTTCTGTAATTTTAAAGTGTTAACACATTTTTCCGGCGGTGGCTACATAGTGCGATTTTTATAGCTGCCTGTCTTCGCGATGGAATATGTCACGTCAATTCGCATCTTTCTCGATTGTGCACATGATCGCATAGTATATGTCACATGATCGCAAGCACTGCTTTACCGTCAGCACTGGTTGATACGGTCGTGACCATGTGACATCTAGCGGCACGCCCGAAGAAGACCCGAAATGCCGTGACATCGTCAAGATGGGCTTTGAGAGGCAGCTATATAAAATCGCACTATAGAACTCCATTAACTCCTCGCCTAGTTGGGTGCTCCACGGTGTGTAGTGCAGTGTATAATGGGACATACTCATATTACGAAATTCGCGCGCCCTACTTAAAAAAATATTACATTATGAAACTATGATGTAGTGATTGTATTAATGCACGAGAGTGATATTAAGATATGAGCGAGTACAGTAAACTTCACATGAGCGTATTAATACCCGTTACATCGAGTTTCATACGGTACTTTTTCTACGACTTATGGTATCTTTTATAAGTTAAACTTTTACATTGAATCGTTTCGTGGCATCGTGGCATGCAGGGTTAAGCCAAGGCCACCTAGCAGAAAGTTCGCTATCCTACCCTGTACAGGGGGCCTTCGTTTACCTCTGCGCTAGTCAAATAGGATCAAAGTGAAATTACGAAGTGTAGTGGATGTATGTGTGTGAGTGTGTGTGCGCGCGCGCAAGAGGAGATGATAAGAAAAATAATAAGAATTAGACAGGAAAAATTGCGCGTGATTCCCATTTTTTAAGGAACTGGTCTGGAATTCGCCTGGCACCTATCAGAGCAGGTGGAATTCTCCTCCAA